AGGTTTTTGAGAACCTTCCCTATTACCCAAGGAAAGCAGGAGGCAGCATGTGCAGACCTGTAAATGGTTCATCTTTAAAGTGTACATAAGTGGAACATTTAATAAAACCAGGGAAATGGATTTATAAACATGTGTTTTTATTATGAAGAAGTATTTAGCTCTTGTGAATTTGATAGAAAAGTACATATTCTAAATTAATTCTCTTGCTCCTCTGAACTCTGCAAAAAATGTGAAGCTGATGAAGTTTTTTGTTTGACATGACCAATTCCTGATTTGATTCAATTTGTACACAAACCCCCTGCTTGGGAAGGGACTCAGTAGCTCACTGTGTCTGGGGAAAAAAAGCCAGAGATGGGATAGTAATGAAATGGGTTTACATGTAGTTAACACTTAAGAGCCTGATTCTGCCCTCACTTGTACCTTGCAACGCTCCACAAAATCAATGTGACTTTAGCAGAGTTTGGCCCCTAACTGCCATATATTAACTACAGTAGGTTAAGTGGGACAGCCTGTTGTCCTGACTTTGAGGGGTTTTTTTTTTTTAAGTCTGAAAAGCATAAATCATACGTATTTATAGTCTACTGTAAAACATTCATTGCATTTCATCTTTATTTGGCAACCTCTACATTCTTAAACTACAGCTTAAAGCTTTTAAGTTGTTTACCTCATAAATGCTGATAAATGGACTCTATTTAAATGAAACTTAAGCAGCAGTCGTGAATTATAATTACAAGGGTAAATCAGTTGCAAAGAGATGGCCCAATTTAAGCAGACTATTCAGTATTTTAGCTACATGTAGCTGCATTCTTTACTATCCTCCTAATGTATTAGTTATAGACACATGACCTGCGATCCCAAAAAAGTGGAGGCATCTCATCTCTAAGTCCTTGTATGATGTGTCTTAAGACCATGCGTGCTATGGGCAGTTATTTGTATGATGTTCATACCAAGTTGTATCCTACTGTGTCTCCTACTATTATGATGAGGCCCTTTGATTACAGAACTCTTAAAATTCCTAATTTTAAATGGTTTTAGTTCATTCACTGTAATCACTGTTGAGGTGAGGTTCTCTTTCAAGGGCTTCATCCAAGTCCTTTTAGAATTCGATGTTAGCAGGACCTCTTGTTAGACCAGTGAATGGTAAGAGCTGTAAGACTGTCGAAGACCAGTCAGATACAGAATCATTTGTGAAAGTATAAATGTGTCAGACCATCTATTTAACTGAATGAACTGGTATTTTAATTCTCTGGAGGCAATATCTTTTTTTCTTAAGACAGCTATAAGCTAAAGAGCAAAGGTTTTGTTTTTACTATTTACAAAGGTCGGTAAAGCATTAGGCCTGTGACCAGAGCACAGGCTGGGAGCTAGCAACTCAAGTTCTAATCCTGGCTCTGCGCTGATATTATGTAGCCCCAGCCAAGTCACTGGAGTCTAAAGTTAGGCATCCAAGTCCCTGTTCAACTTTAGGCACCTAAGTTTGAAAATTGAAATCTTTAACCTCTTGGTATCAAGTTTTTCCAATCTGCACCATGGAGATGATATTGAAGTACTTTCCTCACAGGACATTGGACTAAATATGTTTTAAGTACAAGCCTGCTCATAAAACACTCATTTGTGAGTAGTCTTTGCAAGTCTGATTTTCCTGCGTAGTGCTTAAATATGGGGACAGTAGGCACACTAGTCAACACTTGCAGTCACGTTGATTTTTTTTTTCCCTCCAGACTTACTTGTGAGGAAAGGTTGGAGCCCTGTGTTATCTAGCTGGTGTAGTTTAGCACTTGCTCCATATGGTGTTATTAAAAATTGGTTTCAGAATAGCAGCTCTGGTAGTCTGTATCCGCAAAAAGAACAGGAGTACTTATGGCACCTTAGAGACTAACAAATTTATTTGAGCATAAGCTTTCGTGGGCTAAACCGCACTTCATCTGATGCATGCAGTGGAAAATACAGTAGGAAGATATACACACAGAGAACATGAAACAAGGGGTGTTACCATACACACTATAATGAGAGTGATCAGTTAAGGTGAGCTATTACCAGCAGGAGAAGAAAAAAAGCTTTTTGTAGTGGTAATCAAAATGGCCCATTTCCAGCAGTTAACAAGAAGGTGTAAGGAAGGGGGGGGGGAAAAGAAAAGAGGATAAAAATGGGGAAGTAGTTTTACTTTGTGTAATGCACCTGGTATTGGATTAAAAGGTAAGCTAAAAGTTTTTACCGATCATGATACAAATTCATGACCCTGTTTCTCCAACAGTTGTTGGTATTCCAGACTGCCCATGTTGTTTGAGTGGTTGTCACACCTCTACTAAATGTTGATGTTTTTCTGAAATGCATTTCAGTTCAGCTTCAAGGTAAATTGAGAGACTGAGGCCTACAACCAGGTAGCTCTTAGTTTTGCCAGGCTTACAGTCATGCCAAGTCATCCCAAACTGCTTGATGCTACCCTAAAGCTTTGCAGAGTGCTTACTTAAGTTGTGAAACTGAGCACATGGGAAGCAAAGAGACTGCATCTCAGAACAGTTTTATTTTCCCAAGTCTCTGTTTTTATTAATACTTCAGCTATTCGCATGTAACAGGTTGTGTAAATGCAAGGCTGGCCGAGTAAGATCTCTTTACAGCTGCTAAACTCTTGTGGAGCATAGTGGGCAGGAAGGGGAGAACACTGCACTTTTGGGTTAGAATGACCAGCCTTGGGAATAAGTGATGTAACAGTGACGTTTTGCTCTGTATCACCTCATGGTGTTAAATAATGTTACTGAAGTGTCAGATACTGGAATAGGATATCATCAAACCTAGTTCCATAGTAAATAAGCAGGAAACTCTGGAGATCAGCAGCTCCAGAGCCAAACAGAGTTTATAACAGTGTTAACTCATCTGAAACGAAGAGGGTTCCTGTTGCAAGGGCTGATGAACTTGGCAAGTCAGTCCTATTTTCACATTCATTATAATAACCTGAAGCCTTTGTCTTCAGCATGTCTCCATCTAAGCACAGACCCTCTACAATTAAAAGCATCCTGCTCAGCCAGTTCAGGATCCTATGGAGCAAACTTTGGTCACCGCCCATGAACTATGCTGTCAGTCACTGAACAGGCAGCACCAGGTCTGCCTACCTCCATTCAAGTTTGCAACTCCAAATGTTGGGATGGTTTTGAGAGACTTCTATACTTGGGAGGACTGCAATGCCCTCTACAAGGAAATTAAAGGGATTGCAAAATAGAGTTGCCTGCTTACAGTATTCCCTGCTGAGGGTCTGGTAAACATGCCCACAATTTAAGATGGTTTAGGTAATAGCCCTGAACAGTCTTGTGTGAGCTGGGTACATTCCATGATCTATTTCCAGAAGTGTGTGTACTGTTTTAAGTTAATCTGTATATACAGTGAGATCACTGGATAAAAGCACTTTCTAAGCATAGAGGGAGTAGTGCATGGCCTATACTGACAGAAGCAGGACCAGTACAAGACAAGGGCCAGGTCTACACTAACCCCCTAATTCGAACTAAGGTACGCAACTTCAGCTACGTGAATAACGTAGCTGAAGTTCGAAGTACCTTAGTTCGAACTTACCTTGGTCCACACATGGCAGGCAGGCTCCCCCGTCGACTCCGCGGTACTCCTCTCGCCGAGCTGGAGTACCGCAGTCGACGGCGAGCACTTCCGGGTTCGACTTATCGCGTCCAGACAAGACGCGATAAGTCGAACCTGGAAGTTCGATCGCTCGCCACCAAACTACGGGGTAAGTGTAGCCCAGACCAAGATGTCCAACTGCTAGACTTAAAGGCCAGTAAGGGGTGTGTAGAGTAGGAGACCCCACTGTTGTCCATCCCTCATCTGTTTCTGCATTAGAGGGTCTATATAGCACCCATGCTGCAGCTATGATTAAGAGAATGTCTTATAATAAATATGCTATGCTTATAGGACAGAACAGGTACAGCCTTCTATCAACGAAGGTGAAGTCACGGCTAGGCCCCTGACAATTGTGAAAGGTAAGTTTGCCAGCACAAACCGGATGCGCCATTAAATCCTGGCCTCTTCCAGAAGAGGCTCATATACATCTACACTTACCACCAACCATTAGAAGTAGTTAATTTCTCAGAGTTAACATCTGACTCTCTGTGAACCTCAAATGCTCTGACCCTTTGCTTCTGACTCTTAGTTACTTGTTCAGTAAAGCTAAAAATGAGACTTCTTCTGGTACACCCCCAGTTTTAGATGTCCCAGGCAGAGTACATTTTCAAGCTTAAACACCATAAACATGCAAACTTGTTTCAACATATTTATTTCATTTACAAAACGTGTATAACTCAGGGTCACTCAGAGCTCTAAGCTCTGGTAGATAACTGATTTACACCGTGCATATGAAAGGCGATATGGATGCACCAGCGTCAAGCAATTCTTCAGATTTCATTCAAAGCCACTGTAAAGAGATTTTAAAGAGTCAGGTTTGAAGACAAGCAGAACACACAAACCAGAGTCAACATCAGTAAGCTGGAAAAACAGATTTGGGTATTTTAGGTGTTTACACAATGCTTGATAAAAGGCAGTTGCTAAGACCAGTGGAAAACTGGTGAACAGGTTAAGTCAGCAGCCTCTCTCTTCCCTAGAGACCTCTGTCTAGTAATGGCTTCAAAACCTGGCCATAGAAACAAAGCAACCAGGTCCAAGATTTAGCCAACCTCAAATACCTTAGAAGCTATCCCTTGGTGCAGAAAAGAGTTTTCTAGAAGAAATGCTTTCCCCCTCCTGGCCAGAACTATACATTCATGCACCCAGGTTCACCCAACTTATTGCACCAAGCAGGAATATTGTTCCAAAAGCAGAGCAACACAACTAAATGCCCCCCCCCCTTTTTTTTTTAAGTTAATCTACAAAACCCCCACCCATGAGGGCCAGAGGGAGGCTCAACTCCCAGGGCAGTTAGAAGCTTGAGGGCAGAAGCTGGCCTTAAGTTACAAGACATTTGTCAGTTTGAGTGTTCAGTGAAGTGTACGACTTTTGGCAAGTTACCGGATAAGATGTGCTATGTCCCAGTTGGTTTCTACAGACAGAGGTCCTTCCACTTCAACTCCTTTCTCGGTCACGATGGCAAGTTCGTACTAAGGAGATCAACAATTAGAATTGCCAGTAAAGCCTGACTAATGCAAATGAAATCTGAGATTGCCAGTGCTTTGACATGGGGTAAATAATAGTTTATGACCAAATAATGAATATCTGAAGCTCACCTTTCACTGAAAAAAATTGTTAGGGTTAACTTAATTTGCTTTAACATAACTACTCAGTTAGCTTCACATTCCATTACCTTTACCTTTTGCCCAACAAAAGCAGGGGTCATACTAGGGTGACCAGACAGCAAGTGTGAAAAATCGGGACAGGGGGTGGGGAGTAATAGGAGTCTATATAAGAAAAAGACCCAAAAATTGGGACTGTCCCGATTTTATAGGGACATCTGGTCACCCTAGGTCATACACAGCTAACTGAAGGACTAGGCTGAGCCCTGACACTCCTTATCTGAAGTCAGCGAGTTGGAGTGACTCATTCTAATAAGCGCTAATGTCAATTCCCGCATCCGAAATGTTCAGAGAAACATCAGCTAAGTTGGTGTATTTTGCCTACTTAAATATCCTTACAAAAACTTGAGACTAAGATAGTTTCCTTGCCAGTTCTGTCTGGTAGTTGGCAAACTGCGTTTTGCTGTTGCTAGGGATGGAGGAACTACTGCAAGTCTTGAAAAGCTGGATTGAAAAGAGCAGGGAACAAGGACTGAGCTCTCTTCCCAGCTTTGCAAACAACCTGTGACATCCTGGGCAAGTCACATCTCAAACAAATATACTCCCCATTTCACTATCTCACAGAGGTGCTGTGAGGCGTAGCAGCTCTAAGCCCCTCTGAAGTCAGGGGAAGGAAGTTGCTATAAGACAGCCGAGTATTATGACTGAAGATGAATCACACCAACTTAGAGGCTGGACAATGCATGTCAGGTCAACCAGCACCACAA